GGTTCAGGATTTAGGGTTTAGGGCCCCATCAAACTTCACAATTACATCGTTCCTTCGACGCCTAAGGTGTGTATTTTGAGATTTAGGGTTCAGATGGGTTTAGTGTTTGAGTTTGCGGTTGGCGATGTAGGATTTAGGCTTCAAGCGACGTTTTGGGTACTTTCCTTTCTTTTAGGGTTCAGGATTTTCATTGTATATAGTATATGGGCACTTGCACCCGTAGCCTTACACCCCCAAAGGCCTAAGGCCTAAATGTTTCTGCTGATCAACCCAGCATTAGATTGAGTGAAGCACACGCCCTTTCTACCTGAAGCTTTAGATCCGTGCCCTAAGGCTCCATGTGCCCATATAGTGTATACTTAGAACCTAACCTACCTATATAGGAACCCTTTAAGGCTTAAGTGATATACTACATGGGTACATGGAGCCTTTGGGGTAAGCCCCAAAACCTCGAAACCTCAGACCCTAAACCATAACGCTAAAACCCAAAGCCCCTAGAGCCCTAAAGCCTGAAATCAGAAGTTTAAGCCGTAAGCAGCTATTCCAGGAGCTGAGCGCCCTCTGCGACCAAATGGTGCAGGCCAGCCCGAAACACCTAAACCCTAAACCCCAAACCCTAGATCCTAAACCCTAAACCCTAAAGCCTAAACCCTGAACCCCAAACCCTAAACCCTGAACCCTAAACCAAACCCCAAACCCTAAACCCTGAACTCTAAACCAAACCCTAAAGTGCCCGCGCGCCGCAGCTACATCTCTTCGGACGGGAGGGCTTCCGGATTGAAAGGTTTAGTGCTTTACGGGTTTAGGAGTTTGGGTCTAGGGTTTAGGAGTTTGGGTTCAGGGTTTAGGAGTCTGGGTTTAGGGTTCAGGGTTTAGGAGTTTGGGTTTAGGGTTTAGGAGTTTGGGTTTAGGGTTCGGTTTAGGAGTTTGGATTTAGGGTTTAGGGGTTTGGGTTTGGGTGTAGGATTTTGGGGTCTAGGCTCTAAGCGTTTATGTTCTAGAGTCTTGTGTTTTAGGGCCTCAGGGTTTCAGGTGATTCAGCTTGGATGGCTCAATATAGGGACCTTCATAATTAGAATAGGCTTTGGGGGTCAATTATGCTATATTTATGATAAGGACCCCAAAACCCTATGATAATCATTGAGCCCCCTACATTAATGTGTTGGGGTTCTTGGTTCGACAGTCGCCAAATTCATCCGGATCCCTTCCTAGGATAGCCATTTCGGGTTTAGGGTCCGTGGGCTCAAGCAACCACACACAACTCTTGGTTCGTCCTCTCTTGAAAGGGCGATGTCATTACTAAAGCTCTGTAAACAAAACTTAGTAAACATATAAGAAAGTCAGTGAACAAACTCATGCTTATACGAGAAAAGCAGGCCCTCACAGCTTCACACTCTCCATATACATACATATATATATATATATATATGCACACACTATATACAAGGGGTACTTCCCTACAAACTGATGATTCAATTTTCAGAGCTCGGTGTGAAATCCTCAGCGCCAGGCTGGAGTGGAGCCGCGGACTCTGGTCCCAATCGACTCGAGGAGCTGTTTTTCAGGATGAATTCGTGTCAGGGTTTACTTGGAGGCCCAGGGACTTGGTAAGTAGGTTATAAGTAGAGTTATAAGTACCCTAAATTGAGTAACCCCAATTATAACCCTATTATAACCCTACTTATAGCCGACTTACTAAGTCCCCTGGGCCTCCAAGTAAGGCTTGGGGACTAGGAGTTTGCGGTTTAGGGTTTAGGGTTCGTTGTTTTGAGTTTAATTAGGGTTTGTTGTTTAGGTTTAGGGCTTGGGGTCCGGGTTCAGGGTTTAGGGTTTAGGGAATCTGGCCCCAATCGTTTGGAGGAGCTACCTCCTTCTGTGCCAGGAGCATGTTCAGGCCAGGTGCTCGGGGTGATCTTTAACGTGTTGTGGTGTTTAGGATTCATTTTTCGGCATACTGCTTCACGGTTCTCAACTACTCGGAACCCCCGCACGTCCAATGGTTCTGCAACGTTGGGTCCATGTATGGTTTACCATAGAGTCTGAATAGTTACTACCACTTGACCCGAGAGTTCCTTCTTGAAGCTCGGAAGCAACATCCCCCAAAGCTTATTCTAGTCGTTAAGTCCCCCGTAGGCGGGTGTATGTCCTTCGGCGTTTTCGAAAGGGTTAAGACTTTGGCACGGTCTACAGTATGTAGGGTTGGGCACAGTCTGTTCAGGGCTGGCAAATGGGTTTCAGTGTATGTCTAGGTTCAGGGAAGCATTGGCGTTCGGGGTTAAACAGTTTAGGGTTTAAGGTTTACGGTTTAAGATTTCATGGTTTGGTGTCTTCAGGCACATGACGAAGACCCTGGCGACTCAAATCGCATGTTCGCACAGATATCACCCTGGCGTGATCCCAACACTTCAGAGCCAGTAATATGGGGGCCTAAATAATTAACAATACTATTTTGGGTTTCCATAGTATAATGCGCCCCAAAACCATGATCAAGTATTAACTATAAGGACCCTATAGTATTCCTGGTCCTCTGCCCCGAAGGTCAAACCCCAAGCTTTGGACCCTGAACCCCCAAAGCTAAGACTGTAAATCCTAGACTCTAACCTAGAGACCGTAACAAGAGTCGAGAATAAAGCGCTGAATCTGCAAGGGTTTAATTGAGGTTTAGGGCTTAGGATTCAGGATTCGGGTTGTAGGGTATAGTTTAGTAAGCCCTAACCCCTTCAAAAACCCCGAACCCACTCCAACCCATTAACCCTCAACACGAACAAACATGTCTCAGACAACCCTAAACCCTGAACCCTAAACGCTAAACCCAAAACCCTAAACCCTAAACCCTGATAAAAGACCCAGCCGAAAATGTTCGTTTGAAGGCCTCTGTTGCTGCCTTGGTACAGTGTGGCCATATCGTCTCGCCCCTTCTGCAGCTAGGCTGCACTTAGCCCTGCACGAAATACCACCAAAGCTACCGAAGTTTAGGGTTCAGGGTGTCGACTACTGTAGGGGCCTTAATAATCAGAATATGTAGGCTATTTTGGGGGTTCCTTATTATAAGATGTCTATCCCAAAACCGTAAACCCTAAACCCTACGGGTTTAGGGTCTCGGCTGGGGCGGTTTCAGTGCTTAGGTCCTGGTGGCAGGGAGGAATCAGGTTCAGGTCTTCAGGTTTTTCAAACTGCTGGTTCTAGGGTTTAGAGGTTTAGGGTTGGGGGTTTAGGGTTTAGAGTTTAGGCTCAGGTTTTAGGCTCAGATTTTAGGGTTTTAGGTTTTATAAGGTCTATAGGGTGATGGTTACCGGGTTTGCCCGCCGCCACCCCTAAGAAGCCGCTAAGCAGCAGTGAAAACTCCAAGTGCGAGCCCGCAGCTCGGGTCGCTGCTAGCTTCTGAATCGGGTTTAGGGTTTAGGGTTTAGGGTTTAGGGTTTAGGGTTTACGCTTTAGAGTACAGGATCAAGTACCTTGTAGCAGTAGCAGCCGTTTGCGGTGTAGTCTGCCGGAAATGGTCATCGAAGACTTGGCAGGGTAAATGGTGTAAAGCTACGTAGGGTTTTAGAAGACATTGCCATGCTAGGCTCTCCTGAAGCTGCAAACTCCAGCGCAGACTACAAATTTAAACCCCAAACCCTTAACCCTAACCCTCAACCCTAAACTGATTCATCCTCGGCCACTCAGGTGTAGCATGTTAGGCTTGACATCTACTGGGTCGTGCTTGCTGAGAATGCCTCGACATTGTCTTCGACATGGTAGCACAAGGACATACTGTACACTTTCCCTAAGGGCCCATGTACCTAAATAGTATATACACTGGCCCTAAAGTATCTATATAGCCCTAAACCCTAAACCCTAAACCCTAAACCCTAATATATACACTGGCCCTAAAGTATCTATATAGGGACTACATCAAGCCCAAAGTATATACTATTTGGGCACATGGACCCTTAGGGTTTCCGACGGCCCAAGAGCCTCCCAAGCCCTAAACTTCGGCCGTATAGTGGTCCTAGATTGGGGCGTTTTAGGGTTTAGGGTTTAGGGTTTAGGGTTTAGGGTTTAGGGTGGGGCGTTTTAGTTTGGCTTCTGACACTCGTGCACAACGCCACTGCTGAGGCGCGTCGTTCCACCCATGAAGGCCTGTTGCTTCCAGCATGTGGCGGTGTCTTCAAACGTTTGGGGGTCGTTTCTTACGGGCTTGGGCTTTGGGGTTTGGGTTACAAGATGGATCCTGATGTCAAGGCTCCTAGATGGTCCCTGATTCTCGGAGACCCTTCTCCATCAACATAGGTTGTTTCTGTCCTCCCCCTGTTGAAGCCAACGCCTTGCAAGACGAAGAAGGGCCCAGAGTGTTGTTGACGAAAGTTGGGTTTAGGGTTTAGGGGTTTAGGGTTAGGGTTCGCCATGCTTCTTGCTGTACAGCCATTCGTCCTTGATCGCAGGGATGCAGACCTTGGTCGAGAATGGACGACATGTAAAGACACTGCACACAATTACCGGTTCTCATGCCGCTCAGCTTACCCTCCTACTCGTACATAATGGAGCATGACACTTAGACTTCATCCATCCATCCTTCCTTCCCATCCATCCAACCATCCAGCCATCCTTTCATCCATCCGTTTACGCGTGAGTAATCCATCCATCCACACACTTTGTTTGTCCGCCTGTCCGTCCGTTTGTTGGTCTTTCTGTCCTGTTTGTCTGCTGTACCTAAGTACACAAGTATGCATGCTTGCCTGTGGATGGCACACATTGGCGCGACGGACAGATATACTTGCACATGCGCAGGCACAATGTCAGGCACACACTCAAGGATGGACGTGGCGCACCCGCGAATACCCGCGAGCAGGAATATGTGCCTGTGTAGAAATGAATTTTATTTTATAAATACACACACACACACATACATACATACATACATACATACATACATACATACATACATACCTACATTCTGACATACCTACATACACATTTATGTACACGGTACACACGAGCACAAATACATTGATTTCGCTGCCACCGATACGTACGCTTCCGATGGGGTAGCCGGGTAGCCGACTTTCGTCCGAGTTTCGCTCACTCGCAGCGAATTGCTTCTGCGAGATTTCGTCGTGGGGTCGGGCTGCAGTCAGAGCACCAGGCTTCTCCATCAGCTGCTGCTCACATCTCAAGACTCGCAGCTCAACTTTAGGAGATTTTGCGCTTAGCCGAAGCCATGACTCCCTTCGTGGAGATTGAGTCGACGGCGGGTCGCTTCGTTCCATGGTGGCCGCGATGCAACCCGGGCAGTTGTGGACATCCATCTCTATGTGCCCGACCATGCATCTACGTGGCGAAGAATGGTTCATGCCATGTTGATGGTTGCAGCTTCTGTCACTTGCAGCATGATCTTCCTGTGCACAAGCTCAACCAGAGGCAGCGACACGTGTTGCAGCAGCTCGACCGGAGGAGCAAGATTGACTTGCTGGTCTCAGCAGTATGTGAAGGGTTTTGCCGGGAAGGTCTCACAGACCGGGCTGGCAATCTGATCCGCTTGCTCGAGGAGGAGGCATCAAACCACCCGCAGGAGCAAGGCATGCGGAAGCAAAAGCGACATCTCCATGACTTGCGCAAGGCCCTCTCGCGCATGATCTTGGCTGATGCATTCAAAGCCTTCGAAGATATCCTTCCCGACCGGGTGCTTGAGTCGTTCCAGGCCTTGCGCTTGAGCATGCCGCCCCAGATTCCCCAGATTCCGGATGGCGAGTCACTAAGCATGACGCCCCAGATTCCAGATGGCGAGTCACTTGGCTTGATGCTCATTATCCTTCACATTTTTCTACAGTTTTCTACAACCTAATTAGGACGGACAAAACCCTCTAAGTCTACCCTCGACTTCTCTAACCCTACATAACTAGAGCCCTTGTTTCATGTGTGGCTCTGTAGGGGTAGCATCGCTCAACATACCTACCAAGCCCTCATAAATCCGAAACCCTATACTCAATCCCTAACCCACTAAACCCTAAACCCTAAACCCTAGATCCTAAACCGTCTTGCATGAAACCCAGGACAACTCCGACGAAACCCACCGTCACGAAGTGTGAGCTTACCTTGAAAGAGGCTCTTAGTCTCTTGGCAAGCTTTATGGCGGTTTGGGTTCAGGTAGAGCCTATGAAGTCTAAGACACCCTCTTCTGAAGAACCTTAAACCCTAAACCCTAAACCCTAAACCCTAAACCCTAAACCCTAACTCTTCTCTTTGCACTTTCCCTGAACCTTTAGAAATGTAACCCGGCAGACCTCAACCCCTATAAAGCCGACAAGACATGGTTTAGGGTTTCGGGTTTAAGGCTTAGGGCTTAGGTGTATAGAGGTTTAGGATTGAGGGTTTCGGGATTAAGGTTTAGGGTTTAAGGCTTAGCTTTTTGGGTTTAGGGTTTGAGGTTTAGGGGTTAGGACCAGACCTCCGAGGTCTGTTCCCGGCTCCTGAGATTCCTGTGTCTTGGATCCTGTAGTGAGGCTGAGGGCTTTTGCGGGGTTTGGCATCAGTTTGCATAGCTCTCCCAGAACTGCAGTTAAGCCTTTTGGGATCTTTTCGCGTGGCACCAGCCGCTCTGAAAGTTAACGGCTTTTCAGGGTCAGGTGGTTTTAGTTTTCGTATTTGTGGGTTGCAGGGTTTAGGCTTCGGGCTAACGGATGGGGTATCACAGGGGTTCATGTATGTAGTAATGTAATGTAATGTAATGTAATGTAATGTAATGTAATGTAATGTAATGTAATGTAATGTAACGTAATGTAATGTAATGTAATGTAATGTAGTGTAATGTAGTGTAATGTAGTGTAATGTAGTGTAA